CACTTCCATGGCCACAGATGTATAAAATCAAGCACCAAGGCATGTAGATTGTTTCTCCACACATTTGTGAAAGAATGGGTCGCTCTCAGGAGCTCAGTGAATTCCAGCGTGGTGCTGTGATAGGATGCCACCTGTGCAACAAGTCCAGTCGTGAAATTTCCTTGCTCCTAAATATTCCACAGTCAACTGCTTATGTTATTATAACAAAGTGGAGGCGATTGGGAACGACAGCAACTCAGCCACAAAGTGGTAGGCCATGTAAACTGATATGAGCTGAGGCACATAGGGAGCAGAGGTCTCCAACTTTCTCAATCGCTGTCAATCACTATAGACCTCCAAACTTCATGTGGCCTTCAGATTAGCTCAAGAACAGTATGTAGATAGCTGCATGGAATGGGTTTTAAGAATGGGTTACAATTATTACATTAAATCACGCTTCTCCATCTGGAAATCGGATGGACGAGTCTAGGTTTGGCAGCTGCCAGGAGAACGGTACTTGTCTGATTGCATTGTGCCAAGTTTAAAGTTTGGTGGAGGGGGGATTATGGTGTGGGGTTGTTTTTCAGGAGCTGGGCTTGGCCCCATAAGTCCAGTGGAAGGAACTCTGAATGCTTCAGCATGCTAAGAGATTTTGGACAATTCCATGCTTCCAACTTTGTGGGAACAGTTTGGAGATGGCCCCTTCCTCTTCCAGCATGAAGGTGCACCAGTGCACAAAGCAAAGGTCCATAAAGACATGGATGAGAGAGTTTGGTGTGGAAGAACTTGACCTGCCTGCACAGAGTCCTGACCTCAATCCGATAGAACACCTTTGGGATGAATTAGAGCGGAGACTGAGAGCCAGGCCTTCTCATCTAACATCAGTGTGTGACCTCACAAATGCGCTTCTGGAAGAATGGTCAAAAATCCCCATAAATACACTCCTAAACCTTGTGGACAGCCTTTCCAGAAGAGTTGAAGCTGTTGTAGCTGCAAAGGGTGAACCAATGTCATATTAAACCCTATGGATTAAGAATGGGATGTCACTTAAGTTCATATGTGAGTCAAGTCAGATGAGCGAATACTTTAGTGTATCTAAACAGTGATGCATAATTTATCTGCACATGGTATAAAAAGGGTGTCACGTGTTGTTCCCTAAGCTTTGGTGACACTTCTTTTTTAATTTGCAGTACAAGGAATGGCGAATGCTTTGAAAAACGGGTTTATTTTTACGAACTGTTCAATATTCAGTTACAGTATTCACAGTTTGAAAAAATTGTGTTTTTCCTCCGCTCCATGTGAGTCGGTGGCGGTTTACAAACCATTAGTGGGAACCTTTAGTGGCTTAACTTTACAAAGTTCTCCCCCAAATCTCGTCACTTGTCTCGCTTTCTTTAGTCTTTTTTTTTTCTTTCTTTCTTATTCTATTATTCAATAAATTCCTCTAAACCTCCACGTGCCCGTCTGCTGGCATCTGTGTCCGCACATGGGTTCTCAGACCTGCTGTAACATTCTCTACTTTGTTGTTTGTCTTTCTTGGTTTCTTTACTTGTTGTCTTTCTCTCTCCTTTACTCCAGTTCCAACCGGTCAACGCAGATGTCAGTCTGAGATTTCTTGCTGTTAAAAGGGAGGGTTTTCTTCACAATGTCATCAAATTGCTGCTCAAAGGGAATCAATGAATTTGTCCTGGCCCGACTATCTGAGGTGACTGTTGTTATATATATATAGCAGAATCTGAAATATTTTGTCTTTTAAGTTATGTGTCAGAACCTATTAGATTTTGTTTCTAAATTCTGAAACTTTCTGTTTAGCTTTAAAAAGTTTTCAATTCTTGAAGCACTTTGAACTGTGTCCAGAGATTTTTTGTTTTTGTTTTTTTTTTTTTTTTCTTCAGAGGTTAGCGTGTAATCTGAGACTGGGGTTTTCCTTAGCCTGTGTTCAGTTTCACTTCTTGTTTCTTCAGAAGTCTCTGCTAAAAATATAAAATAAGGACACATTTTGACACTGAATGGCAAAGCAGTGAGATCAGAGCAGTTTTCAAAGACAGTCATTTAGTTCTTGTTCAAACGTCTTGACTCACTAACCAGACATGCAAATTACCTTAAAAAGGCAGTGTACTTATGAAAGAATTAAAACTTAACAAGCTGTGACTCGCAGTGGGTCATTCATTTTTTGTGAAGCCAAACCTTGTTTAATTTTTCACAGCGTAAACATCACATGGATTAATTAAGAGTAGGAACAAGTTGATTCTGTCAGTCAGTGAGGAGTAACAGGATGTAAAGCAACTTAATGGAAACTATGAGAGAGCAACAGGATGTCAATGGGGTTGCATGCTGTCCCTGCACAGTCTTTTTCTAAAGAATTTTATAGTATTATAGATTAATTACTTGATGAATAATAAACTGTGCCCTTGCTCATTTCTGTGCAGTGTATTGCAGTCAACAATGGGAGTCACAATGATTCCAAGCAGATGTGTTTATATACTGCATCCTTGTGAAGAAGTCATGTCTGAATTCGGGAACTTTCCATAAATCACAAAATGTGAAACTGTAACAAATGTATTCACCCAGCTTACTCAGCACAAATTTGAAAAAATTGAAAGGTTAAGCTGTGCATCAGCCTGTCAGTCAGTCCTATGATCCAAAATGAAATAATTCTGAAATAATGTTGGACTGTATAAGATGACATTTTATGCACATTCATCTTCCCAGCTAATTGTTCTTAATGATTTTGGTGAAGTCCTGACTTTTCATCAAGTGCCACCATTAGGCTTACATTGTGGTTTTCTGTTCACTGTTTCAACGATTAATGTTGAACTTTTCATTCTTTTTCACCATGTAGTGCAAAGCTTCAAATAAATTGTTGGAACAAAAATACACTTTGAGTACAAAATATGAAAAAAAGAGTTATTCTGTAGACTAAAATGTTTTGTCAGAACCAAAGACCTAAGACTAAAAGAATCTGTGATTCCGGGAAAAAGACTTGTTGGAAGAAAAAAGGAAGGGACAAAGAAAGTGAAAGTGGAATACTGGAAAGTGAAACTATTGTTGAATTGTGTTTGTGCTGTCAGGATATGAAAGAGAGAACTGCCTAAAGGACTAAAGAAGTTCACCAAGAAGGTGATGATAAACAACTTCTTTTTACACTTTCTTGATACAATGTCAGATCTCACTTAAAGTCCAGGGGCCTCATTTATCATCAGTGCATAGAAAAGGTTCTAAATTCTGTTGTATGAATTAAATTTAGAATGTGTGTAGGTAAAAAAAAATCCATATTTATCAAACATGTGTACGGGGTGGTACGCACATCCACAAGTCATCAGTGTAGATAAATCCCATTTGTTCTTTACCAACCATGCTCGGGCATTTTTGGGATCATTTGCCTTCAGAAACGCTTCCAATTAACCATATACGACAACAACATGCCTCTTTATAAAACAAGTGAAGATTTGTTTTTCCTCACCTGTCGTCATCATCGTGGCACAAAAGGCGAAAAAGAGGAGCTTTTCTGAAACTGAAATCGAGGTATTTGTCAGCGAGGTTGAAGATAACCAGAAACAATTGTTTAGTACATTAAATGTTGGGATAAGCAATGAAAGAAATGGGACAAGACAACCACCACAGTTATTTCTGGTTAGTCAGATGAGAGATTGCTCGCACAAGTAAAATTTTAAAAATAAAAAGTGTTGTTACAGTGTGTGTAACACCACTAAGCTAAGTGTCAAAAAACGTATCACAGCCCATAAACGAGAAATAACTGCAATTGGAGTACAAATGACTACCCAACGTTCACCCAGTGGATAACCTGACGATCTACAGATGAGATTTTGTAATGACCATACTAAGTCCAGCAAAAACATTTCACACGCTGTAACACCCACCAATAAGCCATCTTCAACAGCTCCTGCTTGGAAACGCACCCACAGAGCTGTTCTGCTTAATAAATGAGTCATGTGTTGCTCCAGGCCACCAAGCAACAACGTTTCATAGCCACAAATGTGCGCCACAAATTATTTGTACTTTGATAGAATGAAACCATTTCTATTTACATAATTCAATTTGTTTAGTGATGTTGCTTTGAATGTGATGTGGGTGCAGTCTAAGGCTCCACTTATGTTTGGGAATCCAGCAATAGCATGATTTGGACACGTTTGGTGACGGCTGTAAGGGAACTGGATTTAGGCTGGGGCCAGTGGAATTATGGCATCCAACACTGCCAGCTTGATCCTGCTCAGAGATGGCTGGAAATGCTGCATGTCTCCAACCTCACGCTGGAATGTGCCGGTGGTCAGAATCCCCGATTGCTTTCTGTTAGTAGAGATTAGCAATTAGAGATTGTATGAGTAGATTGTGGTTTCACTATTCTACCGCTAGATTATGTGCGCAAGCATGAGCAGAGTTATGTGTATATTTACGCATATTCTAAAGTATAAGTACAAGTTGAGAAATCCCATGTGTGTACACACTGATGATACATGAGGCTCCAGGTGTTTTAGTCCATACATAGATAGGGAAGGTGCTCCGATCTTCATGCCAGCGCTCATATGCTTTCTGTCCCTTTGCTTCCTTGACTGAGTATCTGGAATGGTTAACCAGTGCAAAAGGAGATGACCCTCTGTTCAACATGGACTCTGGGAAGGCCTTGTACAGGCCTTGGGTTGCACGCCTCCACATCCCATGCAAATGCTGTGGTCTCTCCTCCACGCTACATGATCCATTCTTTCTGGTCATCCTCTGCAGCATAATATTGCAGACCCTAAATAGTTCACATAATACGTAGTAAAACATGTAATTGAGGCATGGCTTCATGTCAATTCCTTCGTTCATTGAACAAAAGAGTTACTCTGTAGACTAAAATTTTCAGATTGTCAGAGCCAAAGCCCTAAGACTAAAAGAGTGTGTGATTCCGGGAAAAAGGCTTGTTGAAAGAAAAAAGGAAGCGACGAAGAAAGTGAAAGTGGAATACTGGAAAGTGAAACTGTTGTTGTATTGTGGTGGTGCTGTCAAGGTATAAAAGAGAGAACTGCCTGCTGCTTCACAGCATCAGGAGTCCAGACTGAAGTCAGACGCAGTGAAGAGTGAGCCAGCCACAACTATGAATTCAGCTGTCATTACCTTTTTCATCAGCCTGCTTGTCCTGTGTGCACAAGGTACTGTAAAAACTTTGATGTTACTATACTTTAATTTCTTCTTACTGTATGCTTTATATATATATATATAACATAATATATTCCATAATTTCCCTAAGGTACTCTACCAAAGGGATCAATAAAGTTTCATGCCTTATCTCTTACTTTTATCTTACATATATATGTATAGTGCAGGGGTCGCAACCCACAGCCCCGGAGCCACATGTGGTTCTTTCATACCTCTGCCGTGGCTCCTTGTGGCTTTGCAAAATAAATAATGAGCATTTAATTTAAATTTATTTTATTTTAGTTTGTTAGTTTTTTCAAATCTGATTCTAAATTTGAGGATTATGGTCAGAGTAGATGGTATTGATGAACTTTTAGAACATTATCTTCTCTATCTGCAGTTCCTTTCGTCTCTACAGAGTGTTTATCATGTTGCCCTCCTTGTTTTGGTGTTTTGGATACTGACTGCCTTTAAGAGTTTCCGTTTGAAATAAGGTTATATCTGTTTTTCCCACAGGGCAGCAAGCCAGCGGATCGAGCAAGTGCAAGTGTATAAACAGTTACATCAGCAGAGGCAGTCGACAGCTCATTGGGGCTCAGGTAGTCGTGTTCCCCCCAAGCATCTTCTGTCCACGGACAGAGATCATGTGAGTAGATGAGATTAACAGAGCAACATATACTGACCCATCATTCAGCTGCATTCTTTAACGTCTCTCTAACACAACTCTTTGTTCTCTCCCAGTATTAGTACAGCAGCAAACAAGGAAAAATGCGTGAATCCTCAGTCACCCCTCGGACAACACATTCTGAAGAACAAAAGCAAGTATGATCAGCTGAAGCACTCTAACTTCACACAACATAAAGCAGTGTTCATTGTCAGAGTTTCCAATATCAAAAGTTCTGTGATTGTTTCAGATGTTTCCTGATTTTCACTGTCACATGTTACTTCAGGCACGGGAAGAAGGAAGCTGTGAGCACGACGGCAGCTTCTGGTCAGACTGCTACTTTGAGCTCATCCACATTCCACACCACACCCAAGCTGTAGGAACCTGCACTGAAGATTTTGCAGTGGAACTATAACATGGTTCCAGGCTACAGGTGAAACATGATTTCAGTTCCCCTGCAGAAGAGAAGGACTTGTCCACCATCACTGTAAATACAAACGAAGACTTGAAAGATCCAATAAAACATGTACACACTCACCCTCTCTCTGATAGACACACACACATTCTTTAGTTTTTGAGTTATGTATGTTTAGTTAGATTATTACATATTATCTACATGTGTTTTGTTTTTGCTTAATGTCTTTAATAAATGTTTTAAAATACACATGTGGTTCTATTTAATGTTGTAAAAGGGTGCATACTGCCAACCACTACAATGCAGAGCTCCAAAATTGTTCTACCTCGCTGTTGATATGGTCATTTGATTGTTGTAAAATAATTATTAATCAGAGTCCTGTTTGTTCAGAATAGCAATCAGACTTCTGATATGTTCACTAGCTCTCATGTTAGGTTTGCTACTGTCACAAAGCTACTAAGTGAGCAATGTTCTGCTGGGCACTTGAGGCACTGCAATATGTATTTCTAACAGCTGAACAATGCCTGCAGGTTGAGTTAGACAGCATCTGATGAGTCAATCAAATCAACCTCAACGTGAATGCCGCTTCAGTGGAAGGATGCAAGTGAAGGAAATCTGACCTAGACTGGACTTGGTGGACTTCTTTAGTCCACTGAAGAGAAGGCAGATGGAGACCCCTGCAGTAATAGTTATTGTCATCCAGCGTCAGATAAGAACCTTGGTGCGACTAATGATCCTAATGTATCATTAAAAAAAGGTTATGATGTTAATGTGCCTGCACAACAGTGACAAACTGTAAATCTGACCTTGAGATTCAATTTTTTTAATTAAATTTTATTTATATAGCGCAATTCACAATATATGTCATCTCACAGCGCCAGTAATAGAATACTGCCATTATATCGAAAAACTATAACCATGTCTTGGGTGTTTGTGATCTCAGGGACTGTCTGTGTCATCATTGTTCAGATTTTTTTCAGAGCATCACTTGAGCAGAGTCACCACCAAACACAAATGCATGTCATTTTGAAATGATTGGTTAAATGAAACCAAGCATCCTGTCTAAAATGACATAAAACAGCAAACCATCAGGTCAATACGATGTGTTATTACATCGAAGAATCTTCTCAGCTGAAAGCTTGACATGAATGTTTTTTAGACAGACAAGATTAAGAACAGCTACTTAAAGACATGTAAAAACAAACAAACTAACTCACAAACAAACAAACACAGGAGTCAGAAATACTGTCAGTTTGTGGTCCAGTAAATCAAGCATAATGTGTTACATCAGTGGTCCCTTACCTCAGCAGATCAACCCCTGGAGTTAGTGAGGCCACCCAGGTGCACCTTGCAAACAGAGATACTGATATCTGTGGATCCTCTGTCATCTTAATATCCCTAAAACCTTCAGAAAATGTCAGAGCTTCAAAACTCATCCCACGTGAAGCTTTTTACTCGACCACCTCAGAATTACAGCTCAAGGATGCTGGCTGGACATAGTCAGTTAGAAGACTTTAATTAGTCACGCTGCAGGTTTTAGACTGACGGTATATAATTAATAATGTCAGAGTAAATCCAATCCAACTGCAAAGCCTGAGTTAGTGAGACTTTCTGCATCAGTTCCATGAGTATAATCCAACATATAATAACATATAATACTGATGATGCAAAGAGAACATATTGATGAAACATGGTGGATGAGAACTCATGTTTGACAAAACATATTAATGTAGAGATTAAAATGGTAACAGACTGTCCTAATGATGAGGAGAAAAAGTGGAGAAACGCTTCTCTTTCTGGAGCAGACAATGTGGAAACGAAGAAAAGCTGTCAGGATTTGAAATCTCAGTAACACCTAAAGCTCTATGAAATATAATCACTACTGGATTGTGATTGTTGAAATTGAAACACCAATAAATATATTAAATCTGTTACAACCATCCGTATTCATGTGGTTTGATTTGAGTTTTCAGTAAAATCCTTCCCCAGCAATCATTCAGTGGTTGGAATTCTTTTTCGGACAAAGCGGTTTTTAACTGGGGGCTTTCTGCTGTTCCCACTGTCGCCAGCAGGGGGCAGACATGAGCCACGTGTGAACAGCGAAAGTGAAACCAACACGCAGACACGTCTCCGCTCCGGTTGCTCAGGACACGAACAAGACGAGCTCTGCATTATGGAGGTAGGCCGCATGTATTTCTGTATAAAATGACTGCATTTGGCTTAAAGAAGACGACATGTGAAGGCAGGAGCAGACTGAGCTTGTGGTCCAGGTCCGGACAGCGACCTGACTGACTGACTGTCTGACTGACTGTCTGACTGACTGACTGACTGACTGACTGTCTGACTGACTGACTGACTGACTGACTGACTGACTGTCTGATTGTCTGACTGACTGACTGACTGACTGTCTGACTGACTGACTGACTCAGCCTCCATGAACATGTTTCTGAAGTTGACCAGAGCGTTAACAGTAGAGTAATGAGCCACACTGCTGTTACTTAACAGATCCAGTTCTGTCGTGTCCAGCGTGTGTTAAAACTAAAGGCAACAATTCTTTCTATAATCTTCTGTAAGTATTTAAAAGCACTGAATTAATCGAATATATGTTAATATTGTTTTTAATAGCTCTACTCGTAATAAGAATAATTCTTGCCTTTGGTTCATGTGAAGCTGTGAAGGTTGATCCACCTTCAGTCTCCAGCATGTGTTTAAGGACACGTCTTTATGTCTGTCCCAGTAGGTGGTGATCCTGACTAGAGGCTCATTTCACTCATTATAGCCTCCTCTTTCCTCGATCCTCTGGCCCTTGACCCGTCTCAGTCTTCGTCATAAACAACATCTCTATTCCTAAACTGCACCTCGAGGACAGAGGACAGAGCTATAAGCTATGAGGAACAGGTGTATCCTCGCTGTGTCCAGATCCCCTTATCTCATTTCCCTAATTGCACATCCTTGTTTCCTTTCCTCGACTTCTCTCCTTGTGTCATAGTACCTCCGACCAGAGATTCAAGTGGACGAGGTGAGAAGAAGATGAGAGCAGACAGGAGTGGAGGCACCAAGTGTTAAACAGAATGACACATCCTCACATCGGAGCATCAGTTTAAATGAACGTCAGTTCAATAAGATGTGGCACAGCTGTGTCACTGTTCTATTGGAACCGAACACTGGTTTAGGATTTCTGTCAGATGAGCAGAACAGTGTTTATGATGCTATGTGTTCCATAGAAAATAAAAATCTATACATTCTTGACATTCTACCATGTTGTTACTTGAATTATGAGGTGAATAGAATATGTACCGTATATTATCATAAACACTGTTCATAAACCACAGCGTTAGGTTCTAATAAAACAGTGGACAGGTAATACAGCTATGCTACATGTCATATTTAACTGATTTTGCTTTAAAGTGAGGTGAGGATGTCTCATTGTGTGAATCACCTGTAGCCTAGACTCCTCCACTCCAGTCTTCGCGAGGGCTGAGACATGAGGACAGGAGTCAAGGATAGGCAATTAGTGAAGTGAGACAAGGGGCTTGTTTCTTTTTTCTAAACTGAATAAGTGTACATTCAAAGTAACCCTGGAGCTGTGATGGATTACGACAAACATTGAAACCGGACATCATTTAACTTGTTTTACTCCTTTTAAAACAACAACAACAAAAAAACTCTGATAGTTTTTGCATTTTTACTACTCGTCTCCTCATTTTGCTTTTTGGCTTTTTCAAAACTTTCTCAAATTTCAACTCAAAACAGTAAATATATCATCAGCTCTTGGATGTTAATTGATGTGTTTGCATTTGTCTGCTGTATAATAATAACATGAAACAAAGATTTGATGCAGAGAGCTGGATATAGTTCTAGAGTAACCGTCTCAGCCTTATTATATTGTATCATCAACAGATAAACTGTTCTTCCAACTTTTTAAATATATCTATATAGCAAGCTGCATTTAGTTTGAGTGATGGGTGTAATAACTAACTTCAGCTGTTATTTCCTGATGCAGTTCATCAAGGACGTCACTATCATCATTACTGAAGGCAATCATGAAGACCCCAAGAGATTAAAGGAGATTCTTAACTCTTACAAAAATGAGAAAAAAGATGGCCGCTACAAAGTGAGTGGAAGTTTTGAGCAGCTGGAGAACCTTGTAGCCACTCTGTCACCAGCACGGCATCAATCCAGTTTTGCCACACATGGACGGACCTTTCGGCAAGATAACCATGTTTCAGCCCATGCCAAACATCTGGATGTGTCTGGGGTTGTTATGGACTATATTAGCCAAAAATGTGCAGACAAACTTAAAAAAATCCAAGGTGACAGATTTCTCATTGAAACACAGCCTGACCTCAGAGCAGTCCACAGTCGACCAAGTAGTTCAGTGCAGGTGACTTTCAGACCACGGCATGGCTCATTCTGCCCTCCTGACGGGCCTCATTATGACTTTGTCAAACAGCGATTCATCACATTGTACCAGAGAACTGCCGCTGACCTACAGGTCACATCTATCCGTTTGAGCTCACATGACTATACGGAGCTTCAGAGAAAATTTCCACACCTTCTTTTCAAGCCCAGCCCCAGAAAATATGAAGTGACCGCCATGGGACCTTTTGCACACATAGCTAAATTGAAAGAGTTTCTCTCACAAAATACACAGAGTTCAAGCAAGAGCCCAGTCAACAAAGGTTCTGAAGACACCCCAAGCAGCAGAACCTTGGGTCTTTCACCTACATGCAGCGCAGATCCTGAGGAGGAAACATGTCCAATTTGTATGGAATCAATACTAGCAAAAGAAAAAAAGACATTGCGGTGCAAGCACTCATTCTGCAAAGACTGCCTGAAAAGAGCTTTCGACTACAAGCCTGTATGTCCAACCTGTGGAGAGATATACGGTGTTTTGAAAGGGACACAACCTGATGGAGGCACAATGAATGTCACCCAAAACTCTTCATCTTTGCTGGGATATGAGAAATATGGAACAATAATCATCGATTACTACATTCCAAGTGGCATTCAACAAGTAAGAGTACAGAAACTTTACAGAAATTTTTTTCTGTTCCCTTTTTCATCTGTTCTTCTCATTTTCATTTCTTATCTGCCTAGCTACTAAATTTTGATCTTCTGGCAGGTAGGAGTTGTGATGAAAAACGATAGCCAAGACATGATTATATGAATGCATGTATGACCTTCTCATGGTTGGTGCGAGCAAGGATGGACCTGATCATGTGCCTCAATAGGAGACACAGTTGGACAATACTTGTCCAAAGAGCTCACCTACCATAAGTATGCCCAGTTCTCTTGCTGTTTTTCTGATTTTTGTGGACAGGGACAGGGCAGCGTTATACAGACTTTGGAGGGCCAAAACTCATAATTTCTTCATTTTCTGTTAGCTGGAGGAAGTTTTGGGACATTAAGCACTTGCTGTCTGGAAGGCAAGACGTAGGCCGCAGTAGGCCGCCTTGCCTTGTTTTTGAATGTGACATACAGACAGGTGGTACCATAATCTTTCAAGAAAGTTGTAAACTAATGAGTGGATAAAAGCAGTCACAGCAGAAGCTTTCTCAAAGGTGCACTGCATGATACCGTTAAGCAATTAACATCCAATAGGGAGCACGCCCAGTAGCAGTCTACTTTCACTGCCTCATTACAATTGAAATAGCTTTGTTTTTTTTTTTTTTGAATTTTGTGTGCATGCAAACATCTGTATATGTTTTCTTTATGTTATAAAATTATTTAGTAGTTATCAAGACAAAAAAATAAATACTAACGGCAAACAAGCTGTGGCCACCCGGTCCCTTGAAAATCCATAATACATTTTACCTTGACAGATTCCATTAACTTAGAGGAAGTTTTGCCATCTGCAGGAGGAGCATCCAAACCCTGGTCAGCCGTATGAAGGTGTGTCTCGGAGGGCTTACCTCCCAGACTCCTCAAAAGGCAGGATGATCCTGGACCTGCTGAGGCGAGCCTTTGATCAGAGACTTATCTTCACTATTGGTCGGTCCACCACCAGTGGCAGGAACAACATGGTCACGTGGAATGACATTCACCACAAAACCTCAACACATGGAGGACCAACTCAGTAAGGACTCTTATTTTGCATTGTTACATTTTATTGATTGCTAATGTATTGGTTGACCACAAAATTTACCTCCACCAGTTTCAGACTCTAATGTAATTGTTTGTATGTTTAGGATGGTATTGACAAGTGTAATGGAATGGCATACACAAAATGCCACACACTAAATGTACTCCACTGTTCACTGTGACTGTTTTTGACATGTTTCATACTCAAATGTCACAAAATGTTTTCTTCCGTGTACAGTAAAATGGCATGCATTATTACTCGAAAAAAACATTTATTTGACCTGAACATCATCATCAGTTTCACAGGCTCATTTTTTATGTAAGTGTATGAATTTTCATCAGCTATGAAACTGTCCATATGAAGTCACTGAATTTCTGTCACTGTGTTTGCAGCTATGGATATCCTGATCCCGATTATCTCAGCCGAGTTCGAGATGAACTGAAAGTCAAAGGAATTGAATGAGTCATTTTAAGGTTTGTCAGCACATGAATGCAAAGATGTTTATAGATGTAATAAATCATGTGATTATCTAGAAAAAAAAGTTATGTACAAACATCTCAGATTTAAAAATGCATGTGTAAATTTGGTATTCTATTAATAATGAAACCAACACATATTAATCAGCTTAAGTTTTTTATTCTGTTTCATTTGATTTTTTTTTTTTGTTGTTGTTGTTGTTGTTGTTGTCTTAATTACATTTGGAAAAGCAGAATTCTAAATTTATTATGTTCAAAATGTTCTACACTATACACTGAGATATTTTTGTAAATAAATGTGTTGCGGCCTATCTTTAGATCCCAACCCGGGTGGATTAATAGTGATGAATGAGTTATACAGGCAGAAATAAGGGCCTCAAATAAGCCTAAAGGGATGATTGGATGTTCAAGCACATGAAAAGTTATATTAATTTAAGCTAGATTGTTTGAAATGCAAATATTCTATTTCTTAGAGAATAGAGAATGGTGAAGCGTCATTGCAGTGTGCTCCAGCAGCACTACACCTGAATATATACAATATAGCTACTGTCAAGAAATGCATGAAGGGTCTACTTAGCTACTACCCTAGAAAAACAAATGGTTGTGAATGCAATTTTGCTACGTTATTTCTGACAGGTAGGCTTTTGCACCTCCTTATTCATTAGCTGATAGCATGATCGGTACAAGGACTATTGACTATAATAGGGCAACTTAAAATGCAGCTTTATTCAAATGACACAGTGCCACAGATGACAAAAGAAAGATGGGAAAGGTATGTTGACTTGCTGGATGATGGTATGTCAATAAAGGCTATAGCCAGGCACTTGAATGTTCACATTGCCACTTTGCCAACCCTTTCAGGAAGAGCGATAAAACAATCTACAAGCCAGCACAGACAGTCTCATTACCTCTGTGCACCACAGATGTATCACACTACGGTTTTACTGCAGTTTCAATAGTGAACACACTCATTACTGACTACTGAGTTCTGTCTATTTGGCCATGGTCATTTCCATTATAACACGCATTCGGCTGCTTCATTGACGTCCATTCTGTTGTAGAGGTGCCTTGTCTTGCAACAACAATTTGTTGTTAAACAGACACATTAGTGGACATGCCTGTTTTAACATCAGCGCCACACTTGACTTTTTTAATATTAAAAACAGCCATGTGGGTGAAGAGGTACAGCACTGAAATCGTGTTTAAGAAACAGACCATTGTAATGATCTGTCATCTGTCTTTGGAGAATCACCAGCAGGGGGCACATTCTCCCAAACAGCAAGGCTTGTCGAAACCTCAACAGACTTTTTGCTCAGAGATTAGACATTCATCAGGCACCCAGTAATTAGGTACACAGGTGATACTACCCATGTGGATGGAAGTTATCCTGTTCCAAAGACTTTCAGGATAAGAATGAGGGCTTGTAATCTGATAGAGTGACTGATTGAGCCATTGTGGTAGCAGATATACAGTGCTGTCTTATACCACCCTGAAAGTTCTTATTAAAAGCATTTATTCAAGAACTAAGTGTCTGTCCAGTTAGTTAACATGCTCTATAATGTTTAACCCCAATAACCTCTTGTATGTTTCAGGGTGATTCAATTATCTTAACCTTTCTCTTTTAATCATCTTGTTTTTTTCATTGTTTTCCAAAGTCTTGGTAATTCAGATCTTTCATTATTGGATGTGAAATACGTGTTGACTGTTTTTAGTATAAGTAAAACATAAAGATACCTTTTGTATTGTAAAACTGTTATGTTTTACATGTATGTCACTAAAATGCTGGCAGTGAAATGTGTAGGTGAGATTGTCAAGAAATGTGGCAATATGAGAACCATGATGTTGGGATACTGTATGACTAAGAAAGAAATTAATGTCTTTGTTTTATCCACTGAAGTGTTCATATACCGGGCAGGCAAGTGTAAAAAGTTTGAATACATCCAGACAGATAGGTAGGTGCTTTATTCATCCCCTTGGGGAAATTCAACTTGGGAGGCATCTTGATTACTTTTATTATTGGTCACTAAAATGAGAGAATTGAAACCCATCGTAACTTCCTCGATTGTCTTTGTTTTCTGCACGCCTAGCTCAGGTTTTTGCATACTATGTAAAAGGTTGATCACCTGTTGTATGTGTGATTTGGTTAAAGTTGAAATCCAATAAATATCTAGAATATGCATACATAAACATTTTAATATTTTACTACCAAAGAGTGCAAGAGAATATGGCAGTCAAATACAAACAATAACAATAAGGCAAGTACGTGTTGACAGTGTTTTGTTCAGGTGTTTGAACTGAACTGGCTGACCTTCCACTCAGGTGAGCTCAGCTCATCATCCAGGATCAGTCACCGACAGTGTCGCTGAGCCAGACACACTCATTTCCTTTACTTGTACCCTACTGAGCAGTGACTTCAACCCCAATAACCTTGGGGCTGGTTTCTTTTCATTTAGGTTATCGCAGCAGAAACTCAACCAAAATGCAGGAATGAATGGGATCTTTAAGTGTTCATCACACTTTCTGTTAGAGCTGTTTGCTATCATCTACAGCAGGCCAGTTTTTATGTCTTTCTCTCTCATCTCTCTGTAATCTGCCCTCTGACTGGAGGAGGGTCAACACATTGCCGTTGAATCTACAGTGCTGGGGAATACATGCGATAGATCTGATAGTTGTACCGAGTTATTGAAACCACTGTCACAGTGTCACACTTTTAACCTGCTAGATCTCCATGGTGACTGATGCTGTGGAGCTAATCTGGCCGGGAGCAGGCTATGATCAGAGTTTAGGATTTACATCGTCTGGAAGAAGCATCTCCCTTTAACCAAATGGTTTCTTGACTATTATGTATGAGCGATACAGATTCTCAGCTGAGGGAAAGTATCTCCAAACCTGTTGAGTTGTGCGTCACTAAAATCACTGAATAAAGCCGGGTAGTTACAATATTACACACTGTATGCATTGTGTTGCCATGGAAACTAGATGTGTATTTAGTTGGAAATCACATAAATATGTTTTTATGTTTGGCTCTGATTTGTTGTCAGGTCTGTTTACTCTGCTGGTACTGCAGCTGATAGAACATAGATTAGAAAACGGATTATTCTACTGGTAAATATTACAGAGAATTTTCAATCAATAACATTAATTTTGCTTTATTTGGCCAAAAATTAAAATGATATCCTGCATTATGGGACAGTGTCAGACCGAAATGCACCGCAGTACAAGATCATGTTTACATATATTAAGTTTAACTTTAACATGCAGCTGTCAGTTGGAAATAATCAGCTGCATCGATCAGTAAAATAAACATATTGACACGTTTAAAAATGTTTTCTACCAACATTCCTGTCTTGTATCATTTGTGGTAGCAGCACTTTTTACCTTAATAAATGTTTATATTCCTCTTTGTTCTCCATTAAAACAACATGTTGACTGAAGCAACTGCACATTTAATTTTCTGCAGAAGAAGAGTTCCATGATGTGTTAAACGCCTCCTGTTATGTGAACAGAGTCTGAAGCACAAAGTCTGAGTTGGCAAAGAAAGTTGAAGCACCTTCACGATATCTGTGATCTCTGGCTGGGGCTTTAGTTTTTGTCAAGTTGACGAACACAAAGAAAGCCTGGCTGTGTTCAACTTGCTCACCTGACTTTTGTTTCTTGCATCATGAGACCTCAGTGGATTCACTTCCCCTGTTTGCTCCGTGTTAGAGTGCATTTGCTACATTACTGTCCTTGTTTGACTTAAGCTAAAAAATGACTTTGACTCGAGACACTGCTACCAAGGAGGGACTTTCGTCTATGTGTACCTGTAATTACATTATGACTTTTCCCTCCACACAACCACTGAAGTGTACCAGACTTCTTACAAAACACTGTTTTGTTCTTGTTTTTTGTTTGACCAATTTAACTGTTGAATTGAGTGCATACAATAAATCCATCCCATCCCCTATAAATAGCCATCTTTCAGTTATTTTCATTAAGATAAAGAGATTCTCAACACCATAAATCCAAGCAGATGTAATTATGGCTTTAAAAATGTTATCACTATGTACATACATATACACACTGTAAAATATCTGGCAGCATCTTTACTTCTAAGACAGTGTTTGGTAGGAGAAGCACCCTGAGCAGCAGTAACAGCCTTCACATAACACCGTTGCTTTTGACAGTTTTCATGATTAATACTTCATAAGGTAGAACCTGTCCCAGTGAAAACTACTGACAAGGAATGACTTGCATCACAACACACCAGCAGAGGTGAGAAAGCATGTTTGGTTTCATTTTTCATGGGGCTTTTGTTAAAAAATTTAATTATATTCACAAAAACTGCAGATTTGGAACTGCAACATTTTATCCTCTTTTTAAAAAAATACATGACCTTATTTTCCTCTGAAGTGTAATTGACAATTTAAGTGAATGTGTGAGATTTTTTATAATGGTTGAATTTGCTGCATTTTCAATATTCAAACCAGTGTGGAATTGACAAAACCAAATGCTGGACCTTCCAGATAAAAATGTACTGTGTAATTCATCTGAAGTATGAACATCATTTCACTTATGTCACAGTAATACAAGCAAGCATGTAATCATGTGTCTTCTGTATTTGGAATCGGTTAAGAAACTCTATTTACATCCAGTGGAACTCAAGCAGTACGCATAAAACCAGTAAAATGGCATTAGCTGAAGTAAATCCTAATGGGACAAGGAAGTTATGGTCGAGATTCAAACAAAAATAAAATCAGTAATGTGATTAGGCACTTCCAAGCTCTTTGTTTATTTTCTAGGGTCAAAGAAAGTACACAGACTAGAGGTCCCTTTATTTAGATAACATTGATAATCTCTCATATTTACTCTGCAACTTGAGGTGATTTTCCAAAGCAAAAAACTCTTTATCCCTCTTCTCTTCATCCACAGTCACTGACCAGTCACTTTTAGCCCTATGCTACATACAGGATCAGAATAAAGCAACATCTTTCACAAGATCCATGAGGTTGAGTAGTAAACATGTTAAAACAGAAACAGTTCAACAAATGTGAAAACAAAATTCATTAAACTGAGGCAAGATGAAATTAAGAACAAGGTACAGTTCATGGTGAAAAGGCTTTGCTGAATGTTTTGTTTGTTTTGAAAGTGCAGCTGAACAATGACAGATTTTGGAAAGCTATTTTGACAAATGTCATTTGAATCTGTTCCTGATATAAATACATACATTAACATCTGGAATGTAGGTCCATCTTTTGACTCTTCTGATAAGATTTTAGTGAGTGAGTTAAATAATCCATCTGATTTTTCAAGTTTACTGAATACAATGGATTTATTTTGAGAGCACTTACAAGTAACTGCACAATAAGACTGTCTGCATATTAAAGCTGACAGTTTAGGAAATGCACTTGTCTGCCATCAAGCCCACACATACATGAGAAGACCTAAATCTATTTAAAGCTCTGTCCTTCTAATGCTATGATAGGTATGACAAGATTAGCCTAGCTTAGCATAAAAATCTAGAGGCAGGGAAAATTGCTAGACTAGCTCCATTAAAAAGGACATATTGCACCTCTGAAAAGCTGAAGCCATCTGATTTCCACATTGTACACTGTAAGCAAGCTGGTCAGCCACCCAATCAAGAACTGTGCTTGCTGCAAAACAGGGTTCATAACGATGATGTCCGAGATGCTGCCTGGAGTCACCGCACACAGCGAGCTTTGGTCAAGAAAAGGCTCCAAATCTCCTTAAAACAGATCTTTTATAATTCTGTATGTAAAGATGCAGAAAAAAAACAACCTTAAAGTGGTTCAGTGGCGCTCTGGTACAAGTTTATGTTTGATCCAGTACTTTTAAGTGACTAAACATCTCCATTTCCTGTCACTGTACTGGAGTGGGGGTGGAAAAATATTCATCTTTAGTTTATTTTGCTAAATGTCTTGTGGAAAAGATGTGAAGGTGCTTTACTGTTACTTAACCGATCCGAGTCACTCATTCAAATTTAGACAGGAAATCATCATGAATACATAAATCCTGCATTAAACCCCACGGATTAGTTAATTTTTTTATACTTCTCAAATCTACTAATAAGTAGAAAAAACTTAATATTTTAATTTGTTATTTGCTAACAGAGGTAGCTGACAATGACTTGGTCTGCTTTCCTGAGTTTGTTCCTTCCAATAAAGTATTTCATTTTGACCAGCCATCCACACAAAGAGCTGATTTACCATGGTGAGTATCTGCTAAAACAGGAGACAATGGTTTTTGTTGATACCACCTCAAATCCCATAAGTGACACATTTTAGGGCCATTTGTTTTATCAAGCAGATACAAGTGAAATGAATGTGGCACTAGACATAGATTAAGTTTTAGGCTTTCAACAGTTACTGAGTTTAACCTGGTTTATATTAGACATGCACATATTTTAACAGTGCATCTGGAGAGTCCACAACCGAAATGTACTGTATACTTTATTTTAAATTAAAAAAACACTAGCCAGAGCACATTTACAACAGTATGAACTGGTTTTTCTTCCTCATTTTAGAATGCTTGATTGATATTTAGCAATTTACTTATCCCTCCATCATAGCCATTATTTCTCTCACAGCATTTCTACACTTTTGGATGACATAAGTTTGCATTATGCCAGTCATCTGTCTACACAATGTCCGAACTGAGTCAGTCTAATGACACTAACTGTGTTTTGACTTGACACATTCAGTGGGGCTTAAGTGTAAGTAACTGATAGAAAGGTCATATAAGTCAGCACTCCATCTTTACTGGGCTGTATATAGCCTCCATGCATGTCTAGGCTTGCTGTGCCATAAAAAAACAAATTTTTTAAAGAAAGAAAAGCCAGAGTTTCCACAACAAGGTTAGGAAGAATGGAATGTTGAGTGGCACTGGGGCTCAGTTTTTAGCACTGTTGCCTCAAAGCACAAAAGCCTTTGGACCTGGGCCCTTTCAGTCTAGAATTTGTTTTTTTTTTTTTCAACTGCGTGGGGGTTTTCCCCCATAGTCCAAAGACAAGCAGGTCAAGTGAACTCTAAATTGCCTGCAGCCAGCTATATGTTATGGGTGGATGGATGGGTTGAGTAATGCGGTACCAAGTGAGAAAAATATAGAAATCAGGTAATAATTAACAGATAATGGCAGCACATTGTCCTTGGTAGGAGACTTGTGGATCTGATCCCATTAGCTGTCTTGTAATACTAGATATGAAATTCAAAGAATGCTATCCCACCAAGTACATCATATCCATACACTTAATCACATTTGGTAGAAGACTCATCAAGATCATACGCTAACCTTTCATTCTTATAAAGCATCACTGGTCTGTACGTCACAGATGCTTCTTGTGTAACGTTATCTTAAGGAATCTGTGACATACATACTGTACCTCTAAAAACCTGACAGAAAATAAAGGAGATATGAATCAGCATCTTGATTTCTGTTTCACCCATCACTAACCACTTCAATCAGAGTTGAATCAGACTTATTATTTTTTAGCAAAAGTGAACACATATATGACACATGGGAGAAACAGGGCCATGAAGGATCAACTGGGACAATCAACTGGAGGAAAAGAAATGGGGGAGGGGAAGAGGGAGAAAAGAGGGTAGCCCATTCCAGAAGTCCAGGCAGGAGTAAAGGTCAGTCAAGTCACCATGTTGGGGTTAGTACTCTGAATCCTACCCCAAAGTAAAATGCCACTTGAATGCAACAACTGCTTGCTGTCCTCTTTATAGTAGCCTCATTTAGTGAAAGCAGCCACCACAGCCCATAACAGCTCATTTGTGTTGGCCTTCATACTCTCTCCCTCAGGCTCCAGTTCCAGCAGCTGTCGCACTCTCTTCATGGCCAGGTCATATTGGTCATCTAGAAGTGGAGCGAAGGCATTTTCCAGGACATCAGAGGAATGGGCTAAGAAGATGAGTGCAAGCAGACGCTTGTCCATTCGATGAGGGTCATTCACCCACTTGTCCAGTACAGCCTCCTGGACCTTCTTGATGAGGCGCTGCTTGATGTTGTTGTTGGTCAGGGGATGTGTGGTCATATCAAAAAGCAAGAAGTTCTGCTTCTCAGTAGTGAGGACGCCTTTTTCCACCAAGTTTTTGGCCAGCCGTTCACGGACGTTCCTAAGCTGATAATGAAGCTTCAAGGGGTTCCACGTCTCTCCTAAACATGAGCCAATAAAACAAAAGACTGTTAACGCCATCACAAAACAAGTGACATGCACATCCACAAAATGGTGCTTTGACAAAGACAAAAGAACAGTCTGTAGCAGCATCTCACATGCTGCAGTGAGCTAACCTGTTGTCCCCTGGACAGTGGGATGTCATTAGAACCAATACTTTGGTACCAAGTTGATGCTACTTATCTGAAAACATAATGGTACTTGTTTTTGTATTTTACCAAAGGTACCATAGATGTTGTAAAGACTGGAGATACCAGGCAGTGACAAAAAGTGGAACGGTAGTAGCAGTTGTAGGTGTATTGCAACTTGTGGGAAAAAACACTCCAAGAGTAGCTTTTTTAACACAAGTGGCTACAGTCACTACTGTTCAGTGTATGTATGTGTTAGAAATGAAGCAACTTTTTAAGAGTCTATGTATTGAATTTTCTATGAACAGGCAAACAGGTAAACTGATTTTGGTGCCAACTACCTAGTTTCTGGTACTGGATCTAGATCCCTAGTAGAGAGGAGACTTTTCATGTGACTTTATGCCTTGGGTAGCTGTGGCTCAGGTGGTAGAGCGGTTGTTCTCTAATCACAAGGTTGGTGGTTCGATCCCCCGTCCCTCCACAGATGAAGTGTCCTTGGGCGAGACACTGTACCTGAAGTTGCTCCCAGTGGCAGACAACACCTTGCATGGCAGCCCTGTCACCATTGGTGTATGAATAGGTGAATGAGAAAACATTGTAAAGCGCTTTGAGTACCACTAAGGTAGAAAAGCGCAATGTAAGTGCAGTCCATTTGCCATTTGTACCCCCAGCAAGTGGCAAAACAAACACACTAAAGCTGCTATTAAAAGAAGGGGATGTGTGCTAAAGAGAGATGGTGAGTAGGAGAAGCAGAACTGTATGTATCAGTGTACAACTCCTGGTAAAAATTATGGAATCACCAGTCTTGGAGGATGTTCATTCAGTTGTTTAATGTTTTAGAAAAAAAGCAGATCACAGACATGCCACAAAAGTAAATGATTTAAAATGGCAACTTTCTGGCTTCAAGAAACACTACAAGAAATCAAGTAAAAAAAATTGTGGGAGTCAACAACAATTGCTTTTTTAGATCAAGCAGAGGGGAAAAAAAATATGGAACCACTCAATTGTGAGGAAACAACTATGTGTTATGTTTCTTGTCAAGGAAGAGAAATAAAGAGTCTTGATATGTTATTCTCCTGCATTCTTCACAGCAGAGTTTGTGAGGCTCAGCTTGTAAACTTTAGCAGCAGAGACAGAGCTACATAAAAATAATTGTAACAGTAGTCTTTTCTGGTTTATATTTTCGTGTTTACTTTGGCTACTTTATTGTAACAATAGCAGAGTCTTGCAACATTTTTTGTAGAAGCATTTTCTAAATGAAAGTGTTTGTTACCAGACAATCACACAGCTCAGCAATGACTGAGCAGGATAGCAGAATAATGAGTGACAATTTATTAGGACATATCCATCACGAGATAGAAGACATGGAGGCATTCAGCTCTCAGAACGGTGCAGATGGACAGCCATATATATACAGCAGGGGTTTAAAGTACAGTGTCAGACTTTCTCTGTCATTCTGTGTACACAAAGTTTATTCCTTAGGGTTTTTCAGATTAAGTGGAAATGGATACTGGAAGGCACAAAAATAATGTTTAACCCCCTTTAGTGCCAGGGAGTGTCAACCTTATTAACAACAATAGTAATCAAAATGGAAATACACATCTGTTTCTTTTTGACATGCAGTCTGTGGATGAGCCTTTAATAGTTAAATTGAGTCATGTGATGTACTCAAAATTAAGTTTTGTACAAACAGAATGTAGAAGCAAGGATGCATAGATTACCTGCCAGTCAGGGGCTATGGGATAATGAAGTAGCTAAACTCACCACTGAGCAGTTCAATCCAACTCTGGACGGTCTCTGGTGGTTGAGTGTCTTTGATGTGTTTCAAAGCTTCATCCAGAAGCACATCACCTGTTGGAGCATCTGACTTACAAATCACCTGTGAATTTCATGCAGAATGCCAGAACAGCCAGTTACAAGGTTTAATTATCAGAGTACAGCAGCTGAAATAGATGCACAATTATCATTTTCTTTTTATTCATCAAAGCTTTGGTGAAACTACAAAGCTGAAACCAGAGAATGCATACCTGCCAAAACATCAGTTGTTCCCAGGATTCTCCTGCACTTTACCTCTCTGTCTTCCCATTTAAACATTTTCCCATGAATCTCCCACACATTTAACTTTTCTTTTAAAAGAAAAAAGAAAAAAAAAGAATGCCGGAATATCCCATTGACGGTAGGCATGACTGTGGGCCTATTTGGTGTGTTTTCTACATTTCCCTCCAGCAGCGCAGGTATGCCACATGACCCAATATGCTCGCTGGCAGGTGTCATTGTTCACAACTTTGAGGACAGAATAGAACTCTTCTTCTAATTATTGGAATCCGCTTTCTCATGGTGGGACTTTACTAATTTAACTCGCACAATGCTCTCGGCTTGCCAGCATGTGACTGACATTATCCTGAGTGGCCACCTTCTTGAGTCGCTACAATGTCAAACACCTGGTAGCATAAAATGGTATGAAACTAATGTACAACACATTTTCTGACATGCTCATCTGCCTGAGCAGTTAATATTGCTTTTATTCAATTCAATTTTTCATGGCAAATAGTTAAATACGGATAATCACTAACATCCCTCAGTAAAGCTTATGTAACAGCTATGCATTGGTGGTGTTTGCAGCTGTCCATGTGCATGTCCTTAAAGGAGTGTAATCAAGGGTTTCGAGTTGACAGTGTTAGGAATAGTGGGATTGCCTGAGGCAGGGCACGAGACAATTTTCCTCATTTTTCAGAATGTCAGAAGTCAGAATGTTAACCTGTATGAAAGTAGAGGGTGAGATAATTTTGAAAATAAATGAGTTCGCTACAATACAAATTCACTTCCACGCATTCACTTTACCATAGCACTTCAGAGTTCAATAGGGCAAAGGCATCACTCCTATTTGTGACTAAAAACAGATGCACAGCATATATTTTAAAATGCATATTTAAATATATTTAAATATCCATCATGAGGACGTGTGCAAAGAAAAAGTATTACAAAATTCAGCCCAAGCAGCTGCTATTTTTTTTTTTTTTACATATAGCAGTTCTTGACTTTATGAACTAAATGTCTTACATTTATAAAAAGGTATGCTGGCATTCTACTTCAATGCTGCTAATGTGGCATTGGTGATGTGGAAGTAGCTTTCATGTTACTGTCAGAGGGAATGAATCAGTTCCAGGATTGGTAACAGCATACTTTTATCTTTCTCCAGATGCTCACTAAAGAAATACTGTTGGTATGTGAGTGAATGCCCACAGAAAAAGCACTGCATCTGGCTTTTTTTTCCGGAGGATTGATCTTTTTTTATGGCTACTTCAAACGTTTCTGGTTAAAAATCTATCAACTTTTTACAAAGGTGCTGGTGTCACTGCTGCATCTTTTCAGGAAGCCACTCACATAGGTGGGACTCATCACCCTGCTAAATAAGAACATGGCGAAGCTTGTTCTGGCCATCATACAACAGCGGTCAGAGTGGTGATATGTTGTCAAAACATTATTGTCATGAGCCCTTTTCAAACATGGAATATGTAAGATTACTGCTTCATCAGTGTCTGATTGGAAGAAGCACATGTCTAAATAGGGTTACAGAAGTAAAACCTACACACTGCTTTGGAAAAGTTTTATTGAGAAGAGCCTCCCAGCACCCTGCCAAAGCTTTTCTGCCAGAGAAAACACTACGGACACATGCTTTAAGTGAATCATCTTCTTAAAGATATTGCTGGTCTGTACCTATTTACCATTATTAATTAGACTTAGAAAGGAGACTGTCTGTTGTATCACTGTTGATAAAGGGACATGGACACTGGCCTTTTCCATTAACCATGTAATTGTAAATATAAACAATTAGATCGTTATTATATCATAGTTATTATAAATATATTTTTAAGAAGAAATAATAAAAATGCCTAATGTACTTTGTGTGTATATATATATATATATATATATTTTAAAAAAACATTGTAAATGTCTCCTCACATCTGTGTATTATTGAAAAACACATCATTTGATAAAAATTTTATGGCAGCTCTATAGTTTTTTATGCTTTACTTAATTTTTCAGCCGAGAAAGACATGTTCCCTGGGAGAAGCATACGCATAAAGCCCTGGACTTCACTTTTATGCAACCTATCATGACTTTAGGTATTAGGGGGCCTTTTTCCAAATAACTGTGCAGGTATACAAAAATGTGAACATAGCATGCAAATTGTCTCCTCTTCTGACTTAGAGAAAAAGTTAATAATTTCATTTCTACCATTTTGGCTAGAAAAAGGTTCAATTTGGTCAACTTAGTATTGACTTGTGATTTCTGGTTTGTGACTGCATTCTTGATCTGCCTATAATCATTTTTAATATAGTGCATACTTGGTTGTTTCATGTGGTCCGTTCTGTTGTAGAGATGCTGAGTGATGGAACAACAAATATTTATTCCACTATGTGAAAACGAATGGATAGAATTTAATGAAATATTACATTCTGCATTTGAACATTTGTTTAGTACATTTATGTAGTAAAAGCATAAACAGAATATATATCTCCTACCTTCCTGGCCAGCAGACCTTTCCTCCTCATGCCACAAGCCTCTAGCTGAAGGCGTCCTCGCAGAGCTAGTTCAATCAGCATGCACCCTCGCAACCCTGATGAAATGCAGTCATTCCAGAACGAGGTGTAGCCCTACATAATGGTAACACATAACAAGAGTCACCCATTCTATTACAACAGAAATACCAGAGGAATTCCTTACAGTCACACTGATCAGTGAAGTTCAGCGAGTCAGATCCAAGCAAAAGTAGTTACAGGTACTTTCAGTCACAAATGTTTTATGCACTGTCACATTCAATTATCTTAAAACGTTTGGAAACGTTTCAGCTGAAGTTACAGTTTGACATCAACTTTGTAAGTGTGTTCCTTTAGGCAACTGACAAACTAAATATAAAATAGAGACAGACTATTGCAAGTTAAAAGGCAGGTGTGGAGGGGTGTGTGGACAGTCAGGCAGGGACTTAATAAAGCTGCTCATTCTAGAGGACGCAACCCTGTAGTTATATCTGAGCCACTTTAAGGCAGAAAGCAAAAACCTTCTAAATGTGTAACTGATACACAACTCAGAGTTTTTCAGGGTTAAATCAATAACCAAAGAGGAACTTTAAATATTTCACTGTAATCTCCCACATTTTTTACTTTTCTAAAAACAAAACAAACAACAGAAACAAAATGCTGGTGGTATAGTCCATTAGTGGTAGGCACCTCTAGCAGGCCTGTCTGGTGTGTTGGCTACAGCCCCTCTGTGAAGGCAGGTGGCAATATGCCACATTACAGAAGTAGAGTAGGGCCTCGCACATCATACAATGTTCACAACTTAAATGACAGCTTCAACAGGAACTCTCCTTGGGGTGACAAACAGAGGGGCCATTACAGCTGTTAGGGTGCTCCACGCATTATACTGTTTGCGACACAGAGCATTCACATTCATTCAAATAATTATTAAACTGATATGACTAAGTGGTTGCACAAGAGATGATTTTAATGCATCTTATTATCGACTTAATTCAAATTTTGTTGCCAACTTGGGTTTTACAACTTTGCATCTTGCTGTTTAGTGGCAACACATTTGAATTACCTTCACCAGGATTCGACGTAGTAAAAAACAATACAGGCGATATCAAGACACTTTTAAATGTACCTCTTAATCTGTTACTGGTCGTTGTACAAAGTGACCTTATAGCTCTACTGTACGACACTGTTAAGCATTGCTGTCAACACTTTGTTCGAGCCTATCTGTTGGCATTTCCCTGGCCACTCTGGGTCTGGCTCCTGGGCATGCTACTGCGCCAGCAGTGTCACTACAGGCGCAAACATCACAACAAAGAGCGTCACAAGGCAGGAGCCAGTCCTCTGAACGCTGATAGCTGAATGCTAAAGATTGTTTCTTAGCACAGCCGTGACTCATAAACACATTAAATAGCTCGATGAGGAGCGACGAGGCCCGTCATTGTTGTTAGCTTACCTAGCATTTCAGCAAATATGAATGCTAACTTAACTGAAGCTATGCGGGTGAAGCACACACAGCCACCGCTAACGTTAGCTTGGCTAACATCCCGTTCACCTTATCTTCACAGCGGTACAGAGCGGATTTATTAACGATTACCTCTCGGTCTTTCAGTCCTAATAGCAACACTTCTTCCATCAACGTAAGACGTGTTTCTTTGGAGTCTCCGGTGTCATCGTCGTCCTGCTCGTCTCCCCGCCGGGGCTCGTCGTCCTCCTGGCCGGACGGACGGTCTTTCTCAGCGGCGGTGCGCGAGGCTTCGGTCCGCCTTTGCACGAGGCCCGAACTCCTCTGAGTCAAGGAAGTCATGTCTGCCGGCGAGTTGGCGAAACGACGAGGAAAAAACACGTCTCGGACTAGGATGCCCGAGATATTGGACTCTATAACGTGTCAACCATAGAGCAGCTGCCCGGAGTGTTTTGCCAGTTGGCCAGGGTTCCCTCTCCCAGCTCTCTCTGCTCCCCTTCCTTGACTTTGTCCGCAACAATATAATGTCTGTCTAATATGGCGCCGTGTGGTGAATGTGGTACCGAACTTATCCAGCAGGTAGAGGCCGAGATACGCTGAATACCAAATAAGTTGAGGTTACACTCAGTGCCTCGTCGGCTATTTTAATTATATCACCTTCTACATAATGGATCACCTAAATGTGATGGAAAAAAATGTTATTCCAACCTTCCTTCCTTTGTTAAGTAACAAGAAAATACATAAACAACATATTAACCTATTATTAATATATATATAAGTGTAGTATGTACAAATCACAACCGAGGGCCGCAATTTTAGTGACGTTTATTGCCCTGATGT